TTTTAATTTATAGTTAGTGTGGTTGAATATAATTATGTTATTTATTTGAATTGGTTGTGAACATTAATATAATTATGCTATTTATCATAAAATGAGTGTTGGCTTAGTGCGTGGTTAATGATGCGTTTGATTGTTGGGCACTGGTGTCTTGTATTCTAATCATGCCATACTTTAATTTTAGTGTGTTGTTTGATATACCTCTGTATCGCTGAATATTAGATCGTATCAACCAATACTATATGATATGCACTGATATGGTGATGCATCAGGTCAATACATATAGTTTAAAGGATATACTTCCAGTTGTAGCGTGTCTAGTATCGGTGCCTTCTAATAATGATACGTTGAACCGATACCTTAATCCTTACCTATGATGAACATGAGAGAGAGGCGAAAGTGTCCATGGTCATTTTATATTCAAGTTATCTAGAAAACCCAACCCACATATACTGTCTTAAAAACCCGACATCTTACTGAAATGTTTGTTTGCAAAAGCGAAATAATAGAAACTATCAACAAATACTGTATTTTTCTTCCGTTTCTCTAAGCAAAATTTTAATTTTAATATAGAAATGAAAATACATCTACTACAACTGGTTCCCCCCCACGTGCAAAGAGTCCAAAATAATACTTGGTCCATTCCATTTGCTCTATTACCCAAATTATTGGCTATCTGATTCCTATTTCTATTTACATGTGATTTTTTAATGATGGTCTAAAAAGGCCATTAAACACAAAAATTTGATCAAATTGTGCAATTTTGACCATCTGGAACTGGCAAGAAATTGGCCTAAGATGAATCTTTCTACACAAATGAGAAAGAAAGAATAAGAAATCGACCACTATGAACTCCTATTTCTTTTTTGTGTCAATGACAACCTGAACATGATTAGAAACTTCAACCACTGATCAATAACTGAGAAACCATGAAAGGAACAAAATAGCAAATCTCAGATGGTGATTGACTAACCTGTCTCCACTAACAATTCTTATTCCAAAACTTCCAAAGATCTAGTTATAGTGTCAAAAGAATTGAAGAACATATAACTGAGACAAAGAATGATTCCAGAATGGGTGGGGGCCGCTGTTTCTTAGAAACGTGTAGGGACTGGCAAAGAGCTAGAGGGATGTTGACTGGCAAGATAGGAGGCCTAGGGGAAAATGAGAAAGGAGAGAGAGTTAATGAGAAAGCAGAAATGGGATAAGGGAAAAAGGAGAGAGATTCAAAGAGAAAGTAGCAAAGGGAAATAGGAGAAGGAGAAAGCTATTGACAGTGGCCTATGTCGCTATATAATATAGTATAGATAGAAATATTAATAAAATAAATAAGGACAATTTTAATTGGATTTAAACTTATTAGCTATTTGTTAATATTGATGCCATATAAGGATAGGTATGGATTTGATCTAATTATATTGAAATCCAAATCCAGTTCGGACTTAGACAATTGGATGCCCTACACAAAATACCACGCCCATTCCTTGGCCATAACCCATTGGTTCAGCTCTAGTTTTTTTTAAATAAATTAATGTTTATATAACAATTTATTAAGTTGAATAAAATAAATAAATGAATAAATAAAAATTTATTGGGATGGGACTAGTATAGGCTAGTGTCGAACCATGGTGGTGCTTGGCATTGTGGTGAAAGCACATTTCATTTGGTTCTGGAACATGCCACAACAAACATGCATTCTTGTAAAGTGTAGCCATGGTTCAAAGTAACGTGATACCTTCAAAACTAGGTGAATCATATTGGAATCCGAAGTTATAGCGGGGAAGCAGGGGCAAAATAGAAAAATGCCATTTGGGCATATTAGGTTGTATTTTTGTTAAATAAAATAACTATAGTTATATTATTACAAATAATAAACAACTATAGTGGGCCCCAATCTGGTTTAGGGTTGTCAACATGTTAGGATTAGATAGAACCAATCTTTAACCAATTATTTAATTGGGATAAAATCATAGAGCTGATTATATTGAAAACAATAGTTAAAATAATACTAAATTATTTTTATATTAATAAATTAAACACTTTTAACTGATATTATCATATTTATTATTTCAAACATGAAACATGATAAAACTTGCAAGAAAGATAAAAAATTATATATTTCATAAAATATTCAGTTACAAACCTGAATTAGTTCTGGACAGGTAAGAAAGAGAATTGATCCAATAATTAATCAAGACAAAATCATGGAACCAAAACTGCTATAATTTTGCTCAATCAATTTAACTCCATCAAGATGGACCCAACCCATTGGTTCAGCTCTAGTTTTTTCTTAAATAAATTAATGTTTATATAACAATTTATTAAATTGAATAAAATAAATAAATGAATAAATAAAAGTTTATTGGGATGGGACTAGTATAGGCTATCTCGAATCAAACCCGATTCATTGATAGCCCTAAATATTGGGCTCAAGGGGAGCGAATAATTTGTTGGTAAATTATTTCTAAATAAATACATAAATGTTTATTAAAATCTCTCTCTCTCTCTCTCTCTCAGTGTCATATCTCCTTTATTTTGTTGATTCGTTTTATTAAAATAAATTATCTATTTAATTTTATTAAATAAATAAATGTTTAGATAATAATAATAAAATAAATAAATGAATAATAAAGTTGAGATAGAGAATAGGAGGGGAGAGAATCAGGCAAAAGAGAAGAAGGGTGGCATAATTGTAAATAATTATGTGTGAAATTCCTATAATTTTCGAATGCCATAGTCAATTACATAAAGAGTTTGTCTTATATGTGGCACTCTTGTAATTTTGAATATCATAGGGGAAATTACATGGCGAGGAAAAAATGATGCATTTGCCTTATATGTGGCATTTTTGTAATTTTTAAATACTATAGAGTCAACATATAGGGAGGTTTGTCTATGGTTCTTGTAATATTTGAGTACTATAGAGTAAAGAGAGGTGGAAGAGAAGAGAAGAGAATAAAAGAGAAAAGGAAGGGAGAAACATATATCATTAATTTAGAGCATGCTTATCAAACCAATAACATGTCACGTGTCAACCTCCAAATGCCATCGTACACCTTCCCAGTGCTCTAAATATATACTTACAGATGAGCACATGGCATGGGTGGAATGGCTTGGTGTGGTGATCATGACATTGCTAAAAGGTTCTAATCATTGGCATAGGTCAATGAATTATTATTTAGTATTCATTCTCACTAACGTCCCAAACTCAGCCCATGATTTTTCTTAAAAAATTAGAAAAATCTGAAAAAAAAAAAATTTACATGTCATAAATGATTTTCATTGCAAGAAAGAACCATAATATGGATCTATCAACAATCAATTAAACTCAATGATCTAAGAATAATTTATGTAAAAAACATGAGGGTGTTTTCTTAATTTTTAAAGAAAACCCAAAAACTAGAAAAATAATTCATTTTATATGTTCTAAATGATTTTCATGGCAAAGAACCACAAGATGGACCTATCAATGGTTTATCAAGTTTATTGATTAAACAACAATTTAATGTCTGAATTTTTATTAGATTGGAAGCTCAAACATCGTTTGATGTATTATTATAATAAAATTATCCTATGGTATTTACATATTACAAATGCTTTCTGTTTGGATTGTAATTCATCTCTTCATATAAATTGTTAAATCATACATTTCTTATATTTTATACTCTGTTCATAAATTTCCTAAATGTAGTTAAGTGTCTCCATACCTTTCCACCCTATCCATGCATATTCAACACATATCCATATCTATGTTATCCACTCTTCCTATACAATATGCGATACCAATATTTTGAACCTTGGCTCTAGATGTTCTAGACCTAGCCCAATGTTTTGAAACACAAAATGTATGAAAAGATCACACCTTGGGCCACTCAACACTTTGATTTAGGCTCAATACCAACTAAATTAATGTTTCCAAAGTAAGATAAGTGTATAAGGGAGTATGTTTACAAAGGTCCTTTTTTGGCAAAATATAAAAACCTTCCCTAAAGTTTCTAACAATCATAAAAACCTCTCATATCTGCAATTACCTCCCTTCCATCATCATCTCATTAATGGAGACTTGGATGTCACAAAATTGCTCTTACGATTCATTAGGGCATCTTTCAACATAATTTACAATGCTCAATTTACCCTTTAAAACTTCATTCCACCTAATGAGTTTTTAAAGTTACTTTAGGGCCCGTTTGGTTAACAGGAATAGGGGTCCAAAATCGGAATCAAAATGTTTCATTCTGATTCCAACTGTTCAGTTAGGTGGAATTAAAATCCTATTCCATTCTTGCTAGAATGGCATTCCCCCATTTGAGGGAATGGCCATTCCCTCTCCTCCCCCGAGAATACATTCCAATCAATTCTGATTTAGATTCTGATTCCAGTCTGATCCAAACGGGTGAGGGGAATGAACCATTATGATTCTGATTTGGATTCTGACTGAACCAAACGGCCCTTACAATTTTTAACCAGGCCGCAAGAAATTTTTGGTTAAAAGCAAAAAATTGTTTTGGGGGTATTTTAGTAAATCTCCATATGAATCAATAGATATAAGGATAAAATGGGTATTTTCCGAAAAAAAAACTAATGCATTAGGTTAACATTGTCCGCATGGGACAATGGCATAAGGAGGTACTTGAAGCTTTTTTTTTAAGAAAAAAAAAACTACGGGAGGTTTTTCTAAAAGTGAAACCTGAGGGGAGAATTTTATGATTGGTAGAGCCTGAGGGGATGTTTTTATATTTTACCCTTTTTTTTCCATCATGTCAAACGTCTAATTTGGGATGCTGCCTATGAAAGTTGCTTCCAAACCATATACCACTTGAAAAAGGTACAGAGGACTTCCCCGTGTGCACCTATGACTTGCGGCATTACCAAAAAATATGCAAACCGGATGACTTCTATTTGTCAGTATTTATTACCCTTATTATTTTCAAGACCATAAAGAGAAGTAGGTAAATCTCAGTTTCAAACAGTGACTAAACCCAATGAATCAGAACTCAAAAATGTTAGAAAGTAAACGCTGAAAGCTATAGCGGGGAGAAATTCCATTATTAATTTCATAGCTTACTATAATAATCCATCAAGAAAGGTACCTAAATGAAAAGTAGAAGCAGAAAAATACCACCTCCTAGTTTCAGATTCTGTAACCTAAATTTGGCTAACAGACGCATAAATATGTCATATATCTGACTGATACTCCGACTCACACACAGACAGGAGACTAGCTAAATACTTCATCCAACACATAATCGTCCACACCATGAATTGGGAGAGTTGCAGACAACTACCTTGATGCATTAACCTTCCTCATTGCAACATCTCTGGATGCTTGGACCCATTCCTCATCTATACAATTTAAGCTCCCATTCACCCCATCATCCACAAAATCCCCCACCCTCTTCACCTTAACATCCTTGGGTGGAACAGGGTAATACCCAGAGAAACAAGCATAGCAGTAGTTGGGAGCACAAGCTCCAAGAAACCTCATCAAGCTCTCCAGTGGAAGGAATGCAAGAGAATCAGAACCAATAAAATTGTTGACTTCCTCTACTGTCATCCTATTTGAGATCAACTCCTCTGAGCTGGGAGTGTCCACGCCATAATAACAAGACCCTATAATCGGTGGGCTTGCAATCCTCATGTGAACCTCCTTTGCTCCAGCCTCCTTGAGCAACCTAACAATCTTTGAAGACGTTGTCCCCCTGACAATGGAGTCATCCACAACCACAACCCTCTTCCCCTCCAACACCGCCCGGACGGGCGAAAGCTTGAGCTTCACTCCGAAGTCTCTGATCTTCTGGGAAGGTTCGATGAATGTCCTCCCAACATAGTGTGACCTTATCAGTCCCTGCTGGAATGGAACTCCAGACTTGGCAGCATATCCAAGCGCAGCAACCACCCCGGAATCCGGGACAGCTATCACAACGTCGCAGTCCACCGGAGCTTCAGTAGCCAGTATCTCCCCAAATGCATGCCGGGATTCGTAAACCGACCGGCCGAAGACCACTGAATTGGGTAAAGAGAAGTAAATATGCTCGAAAATGCAGTTCTTTGGTTGGGGGTGGGGCAATAAACAAAACGACTGAATCCCATCTTTGTCAACCACCAACACTTCCCCAGGATTCACCTCCCGCTCACAAGTCGCTTCAATCAGGTCGAGCGCGCAGGTCTCGGAGGCAAATACAACAGCTCCATTGCTCCTCCGCCCCATGACCAAAGGACGAAAACCAAATGGGTCACGCACTGCAACAAGCTTGTCTTCCGTCAGGAAAACCATGGAATACGCCCCCTCCAGCTTCTCACAAGCCTCAATTATCCTGAGAAAGAAAGGCTGGGCTTTTGACTTCGCAATCAAATGGAGGACGACCTCTGTATCTGAGCTAGTGTTGAAGATGGAACCCTTGTCTTCGAGCATGGTCCGGAGAGAGCGATAATTCACCAAATTGCCATTGTGGGCAACCCCAACAGACCCAAACCGATAACCGGCCACAAACGGCTGAACATTCTTAAGCATGGAAGAGCCGGCAGTAGAATACCGGACATGCCCGATTGCAGATTCACCGGGAAGGTGATCGAGCTTGTTTTCATCAAAGACGTCGGAAACGAGGCCGACGCCTGTAAAAAGATGCAGAATCTTGTTGCTAACGGAGACGATGCCGGCGCCTTCTTGTCCTCGGTGCTGCAAGGCATGAAGAGCGAGGTAGCAGAGTCTGGAGGCTTCAGGGTCGCCATAGATACCCACAACCCCGCATTCCTCTCTGGGCTTCTCATCACAACTGATGTAAAACTCATCTGGGTCTTTTGCAGAGGAGACTATGTCTGAGATTGGGATTTTGGAGAGGAGCTTGGAAGGGTTTTTATGGGTGTGGGAGAGGAAACGAGAAGAGGAGGGTTTTGAGGAAAAGAAGGGTTTTTGTAGGGTTTTAGGAGGGAGGGAGAGGGGCTTTTGAGATGGGCATGGAGAGAAAAGACAAGTCTTTTCAATAGAAGACGAGAAAGAAGAGAGATTGGTAGCAGCCATGGACCAAAGAGGGAGATAGAAGAGCGAGGGATGAAGAGGGTGAAAGAGAAGATGCTTTCGAAGCTCCTTGGTGCTTTATCAGGGGTTCTGGGGTTGTGAGGGAGAGACTTCTGTGAATCTGTGGGTGTGAAATACATCAAAATCAATCTTTTGAACTTGAAACTTCGAAGACGGCGCTTAAGCTTTATGCAAATAAAAGATGCAGAGAAAAATCAAATAAAAAAGCAGGCCTGGATTTTGGCCTTTTGGGCCGGTCCACAGGATCTCAACCGTCTAAATATGCCAGGACTTTTTGTTTTTTAGTATTGAATCAGGCTTTAGGGTAAAGTAAGTTGGTGAATATGTTTTGTAATATAACAATGTTTTGGAAAGCGGATGGGTATGAAAAGAATTAAAGAATGATGAAAAATAGAAAACAGAAAAAAGGAAAGAGAATTGACAGGATAATGGGCCTTTCGTCATGGAGCCCTTAGTTTTTTTGGGATGCAAATGGAGCCCTTAAATCTAAATGTTAGAGGACAAAAGCAAATCAGAAGTGTGTGAAATTGGGAATTTAGGAATGGGAATTCTTGCAAATACAGGGTAGTTATTCTGGCATTCACCTTTGGGCTCCATTTGTTTGATTTTTGAAATAAAATCCCACTAAATCTTCTTGAATATTATTTTTAGTAGGAATCTCATGGCTTGCACCCACCTCTAGGCCCCATATGTGGGCCCCGCTTGATAAAAAAAAGCAAGCGGAAATTCTCTTCTTCAAATAAGCAAGTACTTGTGGGACCCACTAAAAGATAAAACCAAATTATTTATATATTTATGCTTTGTTAACTGACATTTTTTACTATTTTATTTATGTTGATAATATTTTCTAATAAACATGATGAATGAGGGCACATGCGTGAAGGCCTATTAGCTCAGTTGGTTAGAGCGTCGTGCTAATAACGCGAAGGTCGCAGGTTCGAAACCTGCATGGGCTACACTTCTAAATCAGCCAAAATGAATTAGTTTTAACCCAAATTTGTACCGATTTTGTTTTGCTATGGTTAAGATTAGGGCTGATCATTTCAGCCCGGCCCGGAAATTCCAGGCGTGGGCCTGGGTTTTCTGTTCAGACCTGGGCCCATAATAGGCTTGCATATTTTAAGGCCGGGTTTGGGCTTAATACTTTAAGCTCGGCCTGACCCATATATATATATAAACTTATACATTTTGTGTATAATTTATTTTACATTATATTATATATTTTATATATAAATATTATAACATGATATGTATATTTTATATTATATAATATATAAAATAAAAGTTTATATGCATGTTATGTCATTTAATATAAAATATTATAGATATGTAATATTTTATATATGAAAGACATTGGCCCAAAATCAGGCCTGACCCGGCCCAAGCCCATGTAGACCTGAGCTAGGGCCTATATTACAAGCCTGGAACCCCAGGCCGGGCCTAAACTATAGCCCATATCATAAGTGCAAAGCCCGGCCCGACCTATGATCATCCCTAGTTAGCTAATTGACTATTGTTTAGCTAATTGACTAAGTATATCTTTACTGTTTCATTATTGTTTAACACTAGCCCTATTGTTTTTTATAATTGACTAGCTGCTAACATCCATCAAAATCCTTATACACATTCACTTGACATATAATTTTTTTAAAATCCAATTTTACCTTTCGTCCCTCTCCCTTTTTCTCCTCGTCATCCTCCTCCTCCTTTGGTTTCTTCCTTTCAACAGCGACAAACCAAACTAGCTCGGTCCTTGACCACCCCCTCCCCCCTCCCCCCTCACCCCTCTCTCTCTCACTTTATCTATCTATCTATCTATTTATCTTTCTGATGTATTTTTATCAACATTAGTTGACAGAGAAGTCTGATGTATATTCATTTGGGGTTGTTCTCTTTGAAGTCTTATGTGTAAGGCCTGGCTTTTCTATTTTATTCTTTGAATAAGTTGATCGGAAAGTAAAGTGAAACTCATACCTCCAATAGATTCAATTTCTAAGATTCTTTATTTGTATCTTTTACGGGAGCAAGGTAAACAAACAAGGGGGTCAAAATTGTATAGTCAATGATCTTTGTCGTTAAAATAGTTGGTGATTATCAACAATCCGTGACGATCAATAGTCGGTGACAAGTAGGAGTAAAGAATCGGTGACAAACATGAAAATCTGAGTCGGGGAACGCAAAAGCAGATGATGGGGTTTCAATAATCGGTGACTATCAACGACCGTTGCCTGCTGCTTTGCTTCTGATTCCGACCTCTACGGTTCCGGCGGCTCCCCTATGGCACCAAGGAAGAGAACGAGAGGGAGAGGGAAGATGGGAAAGGTTGTAACTTGGTTCCCTTATAGCATCCAACCTCTGCGTCTGCGGTTCTGGCGGTTCCGATGGTTCCTTTTTTCGACCTTTGCAGTTCCAGCGGTTTCCTTATGTCACCAAGGAAGATAATGAGAGGGAGAGGGAAGAACCTGGTTTTCTGAGCAACTCGGAGAACCAGCAATTGAAACTCAGTGCGCTTTTTTATCTCTTCCGTAACTTCAACCTGCTTTCCTGAGCAATTCGGAGAATCGGCAACAGAAACCTAGTGTGTCTCTTATCTCCTCCGAACTCCAACCTGCTTTTCTAAGCAACCTAAAGAACCGGTCTACCTTCAATAATAGAGCGTCTATAACTGCTTGGCCGTCTAGCAGTACATCTCCTTCAAAAAAATCAGAGTCAAGCAAGGTCGGTCATTAAGTCAAACCCAGACCTTGTTATGCCTAAAAGAAGTTTGTAGAGAAGAAGACAGTGAAGCGGGGGTTATCCCTGCCGCCGATTAAGGACCGAACCAGCTTAGTTTGCCGCTACTAAAGAAGTAGAGAAGAAGGGAGAGGGAGAGTGACAAAGAATAAAATTGAGTTTTAAAACAAAAATTTCCACCAGTATACGAGTTTTGAGGGAATATTAATCAATATTGACAGTAAAGGTAGAACTAATCAATTGTTAAAAATAATAAGGATAGTGTTACACAATAATCAAACAATAGGGATATACTTATTCAATTAGTTAAACATAAGGGTAGTTTAAAAAATTTATTATTCTAAAAAATGTTCTCAGGCCAATTTCCTTTGAAGTTTAAACATGGTGGGATCTACTCTTCATTTCTAGAGTAAATTAGATAAATCTAAAGAAATTGATTTAGAGTTACTTGCAAGAGTTTCATGAGTCAAGACATCTGCAGTTTGGTTTGCTTCGCGATATATGTGACGGTAGGATACTCGCTTCTCAAACCTCTCCAAAATCTCCAAACTACTTGAAACGATATTCTTTAGTGTCTACAGTAGTTGGATGGTCTGTTGCAGGTATGAGATGACTAGCTTCAAGTTTCCTTCAATGATGATTGGGAAATCTTTGAAATTTAGAGTCAGGTTATGCGCTTTCCATGCTTCCCAAGCCTCAGCAACTTTGATGCTAGTACTCAAGTTTGTGCGCCTTAATGTATAAAATGTTACCCAAGTGATCTTTAACAATGCTTAACACCGAACAATTACCTCTCATGCACGGGGCATCAAAATTTAGCTTGATACACCCAGTCTTTGGGCTTTTTCAATAAGATTGGTCTTCACGACTTAACGTGATTGTCATATGGGCTACTAATATTGCTGTTCCAATACTTTATAAATAGAAATAGGGAACTTTCAAGAATTACGGGAGGAGGGATGGAGGTGTTATGGAAAATCTTTAGGCTCCGTTTGGATTGTGGGATGGGGATGAAATATTCTTTTTTTCTCTTATTTGGTTTGAGAGAAAAAGAGGGATGGGATGGGGAAGACATGGGATGGCAGATCCCAAAATTATAGAATTAGGGTCGCACCAAAACAGTGTGACCCTGGTGGAAAAACTGGTAAATCACTATTACCACTTACCATCACAATGAATAGAGGAGGGAAGGCCAAGAAAATCGAACCAGCGGCAACGAACAGGAAGGAGAGAAACGTGTGACTCCGTCTTTCTCCCTTTCTCCCTTTCTCAGCAACGATAACAGACGGTAGTCCCATCTTTGTCCCTGGGTTTGTCTTCCTCTTCTCTCTTCTCCCTCGTCTTCTCTCCCTCCGTCTTCTCTCTTCTTCCACTTCAAACTATGACAAGCTCAACGGGAGTCGCCTCTGTTCGTGAAGTTCCTGGCGAAGCTCCTGGCGAGAGTCGCCTCTGTTCGTGAAGTTCTTGGCAAAATTCCTGGCGAATTGTCTTCATCGTCGGCGAAGCTCCTGGCGAGAGTCACCTCTGTTCTTGAAGTTCCTGAAGCCATGCCTCTATTCATGAAGTTCTTGAAGCTGTGCCTCTGTTCGTGAAGTTCCTGTGGGAAGGACGAACAAAAGATGAAGGTGAACAGTACTTTCCCATCCCATCCCATCCCAATAAAACCAAACACAGAAAAATTCAATTTTTATACTTTTCCATCTCATCCCATCCTCTATCTTTTCCCATCCCACCCAAATCTTCTTATAAACCAAACGGAGCCTTAGGTTTTTATTTTTCCAGATCAACCACAAGAAGAAAGTAATTTTTTCAAACATCCTTAATAGAGGTACATTTTGGCATATAGGCAGTTTTGACTGAGAACCTTCCATTTGAATTGAGCCTCCACATCATCCTATCTTTCCTAGTGTTAGAAGAGATTAAAATTGATTTTATCATGAGCCAAACCTGATTAGGTAACAAACTTCAGATTTTGTTTTCTCTTCAACATCCCCTTTCATGATCTATTACTTCAAAGACCAACATATTGTGATTTTTTATCCTATTCTAAGTCGGTATTCTAGTCAACCGACTTAGACAATGGGGATTCATTGGCCCATCTATCATCCCAAAACCTGATGGTCTTGCCATTGCCCATTGTCCAACCTATTACCTTTTCAAGGAGATCCCTAGATAATAGGATGCCTTTTCCAGCCCACGAAATCCTTTTCTTAACTTTAGTGCTCCATAAGTTCTCTCTATTAATGTAT